ATAATTGTTGGTAAATACCTGGGTATACAGTTACTTGTATAATAAGACTTATCACTAGATATGATATTCTTAATGATATCTATTGTGTCTAAGTAAGAAGAACTCTATGTATAAGAAGATAGCCTTAATATACTAATGTACTAGGCCGAATAAGTACTAGTAATAGCGTGTATTGAGTTACCAACACTAGCAAAAACCGAAAAAGATAAGGCTATTCGCCTACTATCAAAATATTACTTCTTTAAATCCTTCTCCGCAATACTCTCTATAGCTATAATCTCTTTCTTTGCTATAGACGTAGATCTAATCATACTAGGTATATTTCTAATAGTAATAAAAGAAAGATGAACCCTCATAATTAAATCCCTAGACGGCTACATTAAGAATATACTATTTATATACTCTATATACCTATCCTTAGCCTATAGCCTTCCGCTTCTCTATATCATAAATATAGTCAAGCGGAGAGGCGAGCTAAGAGGCGAGAAAATAAGTATACTAGAAGACGAAAAGTGAAGCGAGAAAATAAGTATACTAGGAGATGAAAGGTGGAGCGAGATTTAGAGTATACTGAATTCGAGCGGTATTAAGCGAGAAAGTAGGCTCTCTGAGAATCGATATAGTGCGTGAACGTAAAATCGCAGAGAGTTAACTCGTACTAATAGGATTACTATCTTAAATAACTTAATAAAGTAAGAGTAGTAGATATGAAACTCGGTAATCTAGACCGCAGTTTATAATAAGAGGGGGAAAGAAGCGTAATAGTATCCTTAGACTATTGTTAAATTAACTGTATTAGCTATTATTAAGACTAACGTAAAGGGCCGTCGCTTGAGGTTAAAGGGAGAATTGAAGTAGTATTCTCTAGTTAATAAGGCTATTGCGGGGGGAGAGAAATAGTATTCTCCGATCGATAAGGCTATTGTCTCTATATTAGTTGAATCGATTATTGCTGAGAAGAGTAAGATTGAAACTACTTTAATAAAGAACGTTCTTCGTTATTCGATAGCTATAGGTCGTTCGATGGCCATAGAATATCTTTCTAAACCACATTTGCCAGTGCTTAGGCTATGAAAATCCCTCTTCCTTTAGACGAATTACTAATTCATACTCCGAAAGTATAAATCCTTATCGAATCATACTCCTAATTACTAAATCATACCCCTATATTAAATTTCACCCAAATATGAGATATGATTCGATAATTTGTTATTGCTTAAGGTATGATTTGATAAGGGTCTTAAATAATAGCTTTCTAATATAAGAGGGTTTAATAAAGATAATAATAGAGGTAGGCTTACTAAGCGTCTAATAGTAGTCGTCGACTTAATTATTAATAACGATGATATTTACGCTACGTAATAGGGCGGGGTTTAAGGCGGGGTAACCTTCGAAGCTTACCCTACCCTATTACGCAGCATAGTAGGAATTATTCCTTCAGGGGCCCTACGGGACCTACGGGACCCAAATAAAGGTATCTATAGCGTGAAGTGCGGACACCCCTAGGCTCGAAAGCTATCTATTCCCAATACGTCTTCAACGATAAAGCGAGCTACCACAGCTCGAAATTTCGCCTACTCGACTTTCGTCTAATATTTTTAGACTAATAGAATTTATTAGAATATCAAATATATAATGTATAGAACGGATAAATTAATTCTCTAAATCTCTTCGAGGCTAAGTCCTAAATATAGTATAAAATTAGATGACTAACCAACACGGTGGCTAGAAAACGTGAAAACCAAATTCGACATATTTCGATAGAATTCTCATTAAATGCGGTCGGAGAAACTCTCTTATTTCTATAATCGAATAAGCTAGATCGCGGATTATCTCCTTCGTAGTTTAAGGCCACTTTAACAACTTACCAAATCATACCCCAAGCAATAACAAATTACCGCATCATACCCCATATTTAAGTGTGATTTGGTGTAGAGGTATGGTTCAGTAATTAGGGGTATGATTCGGTAAGGATTCGTACTTTCGAGGTATGATTCGGTAATTTGCCCCTCTTTCTTTTTTAACATAGGCTTCATTGGCCCGTAGGCAATCTCGTAGGCTGATAATAACATCCTTGCTAAGAACCTCGAAGTTCTCTCTGACGTATTGAGTAAAGTCGTCAGTAAAGACGTCAGAGAGTATCCTAAATTTGTATATTATGTATTATTATACCCTTCAACGAACGAATTTCTCGAGCTTCTCTTTAATATCTGGTGGCTTAGCTTCTTATAGTTTCTCTAGCTCACTCGTAGTCATAGGTGGAGAGTCAGTAGCCATTTTGATGTCTGCCATTCTGGTGTGTTGAGATAGTGAAATTTGGTGGTGTTAAGTCGATTTCTCTAAATTATTCTCTAAGCGTCGCTTTAGTCTAGTAGAATAAGAAGAAGAAGAAGTAAAGAATATATAGTAGAAATTGTAATTCTATTTAATCGAATCGTTATAATAAGCGAAATTAATTAAGTAATATAGAACCGTATAAAATACCGCGGCGATATCGAGATGAACTTTCTTTAGTATATAATCTAGCTAATCTATATACTATTATTAAAGTATATTAATTAGTGTTAGTAAATATCTAAGTATACAGTTACTTATACAATAAGACTTATCACTAGATATGATATTCTTAATAATGTCTATTGTGTCTAAGCAAGAAGGACTCTATATATAAGAAGATAGCCTTTATATACCAATGTACTAGGCCGAATAAGTACTAGTGGTAGCGTGTGTTGAGTTACCGACAATAATAGACAGCGGTCAGACCTTCTGCACCTTCTGGAGTGTCCTCGCAGCCTTTGCAGATGAGGTTTGCGTCCTTTGAGGGGGATTCCATGATGCTTCAGTATGTGTGAAATGTCAAATGAGGGGGAAGTAAGTGTCCGCTTCCGAAGATGCGTTGAGGCTTTCGATTGCTCAAATCGGTCGTTGTATGAGAAGATGATGTTGACGGCCTGAAGATAGGTGTTGGTCTGGGCTACTTGAATGGATCGCAAATGCAAGTGTGATGAGGAATTGAAAGGTCTTGCTAAGAAGGGAGGAAGTTTCGAGTGAACAGACTCTTAAACGAAGTGGGCCCTTAAGTTCACGTCAAGGCTTTGGGCAGGGAGTTGTGAAAAGGAGTCGTTGCTAGAACGTTATGAGTGGATGAACCACACTGGACCCGTGACCCCCTTTCGGGCTGTCAAGGTACTTTCCCTTCTTGTAGATATACCCGCCGCTTAGATATGATGATGTATCAAGAAGTGAGACCATCTCTTTGCCGCATGTTATCTCTCGGATACTTCGCGGAGACTGTTCCCAGCGGTCTCATACAGAGTCGCATACTCCGACGATGCCGTTCTGCCTTTCCTCGGAACTAACATGGATTCCTTCTCTTACACCGTAAAGAACCAACTTCTCCCATTTCGACAACCTCGCTACCTCATCAATCTCGTCGACTGGGGCGTAAGGAGAAGACATGGAGACGTTTGCATGTCGCCGGTCGGCCTTCGTTGCTGCAATTTGGAGACTGTCGATGTGCTAGAACTTCTCCTCTGTCGATCATGTGAATATCGGCGTATTTTGGATCTCTTCTACAGCAGCCAGCGCTATGCGCGAGTCCATATCGCGCTTGAGCACCGTTGCTACCTCCTCCATGTTCGCCGACCCTCCTAGCTTGAGGTCATCCTTACGAGACTTTCTTACGAAGGTGGCTTCCCTCCTTCCACTGGGCAGCGTACTTTTTCGAAAGTCTCTGGCGATGGGAGACTTTTGTGACACTGTCATGGCGCACACGTGTGGTTTTTGGGGGCGCTTTGAAAGGGTTGTTTGGCTTGGAGATGGGCCAAACCCAGGTGGAGAGTACTCATGATTCTCGTCAAGTTCTGTCCAATAGCTCGACCCTGAGCTCAATCTGGACCTTGGACTAAGTGAAGAAATCTGCAGAGATGATGTACGCTGGGGCTACTTCCTCTGAGATTGCAGGATGACCTTTTGTAACTGACCAAATCTGCCTCAATTGCTCCCAGATCCGAGCTGGGCTACCACGTATAGGGAGCTCAGTGCGAGGAACAGGAATCGGGCCCCAGAAAAGGCCAAAAGTAGTGATAAGAGAAGGTGAATTGGAGCTCAAAATGAAGCTCGGAGGGTGCGTAAAACGGCCACCGTCGATCCAGATTTAGACTAGCGTGATTTCCACACGTATCTTGTATGCTTGGCCTTCTTGGCATCGTCTCTCAAAGCTGCCAATTCGCCCGCTCTTCTCCTCACTTCTAGAATTTCACATCCTGAACCAGCAAGTCACCCGCCTTATGGCTGCATATTCTGTTCCGCTCAACATCTTTCACTGCCCCGCCAGTCGTGGCATCGAATGCCATCCCGGTGTGACTGTCCGTCGCCGGTACTTTCAGATCATCGACGGCTTCCTGTTCCCCACTCGGTAGCGTTTCTAAGTACGAAACGAAGGCCTTTATGGCGAGATGACTTGGTTTTCCATCTTCGGACACGTCCACCAGTAACATCTTCGCCAGTCTATCAAGCTCGTCAATGGTCTGCGGCCGTACACCACGCTTGAGCTTGCTTTGCTTTACCTGTAAGGCTTGGAGCCCTTGTCGCGAACATTTGCTTACTGAGCGGGTTCCTCATCACGCCTTTACCGCTCGTGATGGCTACCGCCAAGTTCTCCATATCCCATGCGCAACCATCTTCACTAGTCCAGAAGTTGGCTCTTGGGATACTGGATATTGCATCTAAAGCCATAGTCTCATTGTTGATGTACTTTCGCTGAAGAATCTCGTGCTCCACATACATCATTGCCAAACCTGCAAGTGACTGCAAACTTTCGGGCAACAAAGCCTTCAATGCTTTCACACGCTTGACCAGCGCCTCACGAGTTCTGTCCTGGTCATGGTCGCCAGTTGATCTGCTTTTGGCCTTGCCAGAACCCTCCGCGGACTTTTTTGACTTCCTGCACCACCTGGCCAAGTCCTCCAGATCCTTCACCGCAGCGTTCAATCCGTTTTAGCCTCCATCCCTGCTATCGGCCACTATGGCCTCCGCGACTACTTTCACACTTCTTAGAGGCTTAGGCCTCACCACATTTTTCACCTGACCTTGTGACAATGCTTCGAGGTCCGATGTTCGGTTTTCACAGTTTGGAACCTCCAGGTGGTTCAAGAGCTTGGTTTCACTGAGGCAAAGCTTAGCATTTTCCAGCAGTGCAGCATAGCCATCCTCAAGTTCCTGCAGCGGCGCGGCTGAGAGGTGATTGTGAAGAGACTCGGTCGCCTTATTGGAGGTTGAGCGCTCTGCCGTTGGTGATCTGTAGCCTCTCCATGCTTTTCTTTGGACTTGATGTCGTCTTTGGATGACTTCGCTTTCCCGTTCCTGTTCCCGGCTTCATCGCACCCTCGCAGGCTCACCTTGGGATGATGCTCTAAATGTTTCTGGGCTTCTTTGGCGGTGCGATCAAATTACAAGACTCGGTGCGCTTCCTCCTTTGCCGCATCATGCCACCTACACATGGCATGATGCTGCATTAGCAAAATACGAGCCTCTTGACCCAGCGGGCTCCGCTCGAGATTTTCAAATAAGTTGCTCTAATGAGTGCTAGGTCTGGTGCTGGAGATGACCCACCTTCACTATCATACCATATATCGTCACTTTCAACGCTTTCAAAACCAGAAGCCGAACTAGAACCGTACCATTGCCCTGGCAACTTGAGAGATGTTTTTCTTGCCATTTGAAGGGATGCTCAGGAAGAGTTTATTCACGGGCCAATATATCATTCCTGATCCCTTAGTAGGGAGTATTGAGGTGAAAGATTACGTGATTGATGGGGTAGCGATGGCAGGACGAGGACGCTCCACCTGCCCAATGTCAAGTGTCTGATTGGCGTTATTTACCTGTCTTCCAGGACCAGATCGGTTGGCACTCGCTTAATCAATACTTTTTCGGCCTCTCCACTTTCTGCCTTTGTCATCCACCGACAGAGATGTAAGATTTTAGCGCTGCATTAGTCTTCAAACTCCATGAATCCATGGCCTATGGAACATAGAGGAAAACCCAGCCTCGCGCCTGAGCTGAGCCTCGCGCCCGCAGTCTCCGCACCGCAGCCTCGCTGCCCGCAACATTGCCCAATCCTACGACACCACGTTCAGTCGCACAGGATGTTCGCGCCATCGGTCTAGACTCTTCTGAGACCCATTTACGGCACTTGAGTTTGACAAAAATACCACATTGATTGGTATTGTCTAAAAGAGTACTGCATTGTAAAGACTCTCTGCTTATCAAAGTCTGTTGTACAAAGAACTGACCGACGCAAAGGGTACTTGGTCTAGTGAAACACTGTCAGGGTACAGGTCTTTGGTCTTTCCAAGGGATGACGAGTCGCGCCCCAACGAACTAGGGGATTCATGTAATCGCATTTCAAGTACCTGATGTCAAGGTAGCCTTCGGCGTTGTGTGCTTCTTGCGTGACGAGTTGCGGGAGTGATAGGGGGTGAAGCTGGGATGAGAGCAGGAGCGGCTAGCTGGATGTAGTATAGATTGACAGGAAAGCCTAATACGAAAAGGATCAGCGAGCTTATCCGATCCGAGGGATTGGAGCAAGAGTGGGGTCGATAAGCCTCAGCCTCGCACAACTATTCCCTCCTTTTTTTGGTTCTTCTTTCTTCTTCCTTCTTCCTTCTTTCTTCGTCCTTTTGCGCTTCGTTTGCGAAGGTACTCTCTCCCGTGACCATGTCTCGCATCATTGATAAGCTGCGAGGTAAGCGCGCTGTCTCGCGAGGAGATCGGACGACCGAGGGGACGGTCGGAGAATTAACAGACAGTTTATCAGCCTCAAAGTAAGCTCCCGCGCGAATGACCCCTTAAGGTACCTTAAAAATCATCTTTTGACTTTCGGACCAGCCTGCTAGACCCTGAAGGCTCCCAAGGCCCCGATGGCCCCGATGGCCCCGATGGCCCCGATGGCCTGGGCCCGAAAGTCTGGAGCGAGCCTTCTGTGGACCACGGGTCGCTCGTCGAGTATGGCTTCTACATCTCAATATGAAGTGGGTTTTTGGATTAACCTTTGTATCAAGCATCGTCTTCATTCACGGCTTGACCGGCAAACGCACAAAGACTTGGCTGGCTGATGGAGCTGCACGGCCGTGGCCTCAAGAACTGCTCTCCAAAAAAATACCAGAAGCCCGTATTATCACATACGGTTACAACGCCGACGTCGTCCACTTCATCAGGCCGGCGGGACAGAACACGGTCCGCGAACATGCCAAGAATCTCGTCGGAGATTTGACCAGTCTTCGGCGTCGGACATCTTCCTTTCAACGACCCCTCATTTTTGTAGCTCACAGTCTGGGAGGCTTGGTCTGTGAACAGGTATGGTCCACTTGTCTGTACTCGTGACTTATGTATCCGTCTTCAATATCTCGCGCCTTCCTAACCTTCACCAAGGCCATCGTACTGTCATATCATGATTTCGAGGCAGAACATCAACTTTCAGACTCGCTGCATGGCATCGTCTTCCTAGGAACCCCACACGCTGGCTCTGATATGACCAAATTTGCTCTTGCATTAAGCTACATCATCAAACTCAGTTTGGTTAAAAATCCCAATACAAGCAACATTGCTGTGTTGAAAAAAGACTCTGAAGTTCTAGCTGATATCCAGGACTCTTTCATGAAAGCGATCACCGGACGGCAAGTACAGGGCAAGAAGTCTCTAGCGATTCATTGTTGTACCGAAGAGAATCCAGTACAAGGCTTAGGTCGCGTGAGTGTACATGGCACTCCGCTCCAGTCACCTCCGCTGATCTCTATCTAGCGTGTCGTGGAGCCTGCTTCGGCACGGTTTCCAGGCCCCTGCACGTCAAACACCATCCCTGCTGACCACATGAGCATGACTAAATTCCATCACCCGGCCCAAGTCGGATATGCGCGATTGTCTGATAGATTGAGGGAATGGGTTGACGAGATTCAGGAAGGTACGGGTACGGCGTGACGCGCAAGAGTCCAAAAGACAGCTCAACTTAGTAATTCTTATAGTACCTTCAAGCACACATATAGCCCATCAAAGTGTGTCCACTGGTCTTCAATCGTCAATTCTCGTGACTTGCTGACGAGTGCCAGTTTTACAGCAACCAGGTGCTGTTGTTGTAATGCCATTTGCGCAGGACAAAGACTTTGTTGGGCGTGAGGATATCTTAATGAGTCTTGATGAGGGGTTCTCCCATCCGACATCTCTCCGACGGATGGCCTTGGCAGGTTTGGGCGGTATCGGGTATGGTTTACTCGCCCGAAGTCCTGAAATCGCTGACAAGTGAAAGCAAATCCCAAATTGCCATTGAATACGCATATCGACTGCGAAAGAAATGGCCGGCAAGATCTGTGTTCTGGGTCCACGCCAACAATGCTGCTCGCTTTGAACAGAGTTATCGGAATATCGCTACCGCCACCAAGATCCCCGGCATCGAGGACCCCACAGTCGATGTTTTGAATTTGGTGTCTCAATGGCTGGGCAGCTCCGAAAGTGGTGATTGGTTTTTGATTCTCGACAACGCGGATGATGCAGACATGTTTTTCGGCCCGCCTGTAGGCCCCACGACTCAGAGTGATGCAGCAAGTATCGAACCTCCATGCTTGTCACGGTTTTTGCCGCAGACAGGAACCGGGTCAATATTGGTAACATCCAGAGACGAGGGCACAGCGTTCCGTCTCACTGGAGGACGGAAACAAGTGCTGCGGGTCGACATCATGTCAGAGGATGATACCATGGCATTACTTACCAACAAGTTGCCCGAAGACCCCTCGGATAACTCTGCAAAGAAAGAATTGATCATCGAACTTGGCTCAGTACCACTGGCGGTCACTCAAGCCTCAGCGTACATCACTGTCCAAGGTTCGAGGATGACGGTGGCAAAGTATCTTCAATTGCTGCGACATGATGAGAAGAATCAGATAGACCTACTCAGCAAAAACGAGGTAGACCTTCGAAGAGATCCTGGAGTCCCAAATTCGGTCATCAGAACATGGCAGATTTCCTTCTCGCAGATCAAAGATCAAAACCCAGCTGCAGCTGACCTCTTATCATGCATGTGTATGCTTGATCGGCAAGGGATTCCCGAATTCCTGTTCTGTGAAGATGGCGATCAGTCTCTGAACTTTGAAGAGGCTATTGGAACTCTGCTTCGATTCTCGTTTGTGATCGAAGAGAAGGGAAACAAAGCGTTCGCAATCCATCGACTTGTGCAGCTTGCAACGAGGAAATGGCTTGAAGCATATGGAGAGATGGGGAAAGCTCAAGAAGAGGCTCTGAGACTAATCTCGGACCATTATCCAGTAGGCACATACGAAAACTGGACAGTATGTGAAGCTCTGGAACCACATGCGCAAGTTGTCCTGAAGTACACCTATGACTCAGAAGCTTGCAAACTTCAGCAATCGGACATCCTTCACAACGGGGCTTGGTACGCTTGGGAGCAGGGGAGGTTCGAGAATTCAGAGGAGAAGGTACAAAAAGCCATAGATATCCAAATGATGTGTCTGGATTCAGACGATTCAATCACCTTAAGTAGTCTTCATCGCCTCGCCGCGACATATGGGGAACAAGGTCGGTGGACTCAGACGGAGGGACTGAATATACAGGTGCTAGAGATAAGAAAAAGAGTATTAGGAGCCGAGCATCAAAACACGCTGACCACCATGGGCAATCTGGCATTGACGTATCAGGAACAAGGTCGGTGGACTGAGGCGGAGGCACTGAATATACAGGTGCTAGAGATACGTAAAAGAGTATCAGGAGCCGAGCATCAAAACACGCTGTTCACCATGGGCAATCTGGCAGTGACGTATAAGGATCAAGGACGGTGGACTCAGGCGGAGGAACTTGAAGTGCAGGTGCTAGAGATACGTAAAAGAGTATTAGAAGTCGAGCATCCAGACACGCTGATCACTATGAGCAATCTGGCATCGACGCATCGGGATCAAGGACGGTGGACTCAGGCGGAGGAACTTCAAGTGCAGGTGCTAGAGATACGTAAAAGAGTATTAGGAGTCGAGCATCCAAACACGGTATCGCTATGGGCAATCTGGCATCACGTATTCGAACCAAGGACGATGGGCGGAGGCAGAGGAACTTAAAGTGCGGGTGCTAGGGAGGAGAAGAGTATCGGGAGCCGAACATCGCACCTGGCCACTATGAACAATCTGGCATCGACGTATCTTGATCAAAAACGATGGACTGAGGCGGAGGAACTTGGACGTGCAGGTGCTAGAGACAAGCAAAAGAGTATTGGGAGCCGAGCATCCAGACACGCTGACCACCATGAACAATCTGGCACCGACGTATTTTAATCAAGGACGATGGACTCAGGCGGAAGAACTTGAAGTGCAGGTGCTAGAGATGAAGAGAAGAGTATTGGGAGCCGAACATCCAGATACACTGATCGCCATACACAATCTTGCTTATACTTATCACTATCTCGATCGTCACAATGAAGCAATCAAACTGATGGAGCAAGTTATGGAGCTAAGGACAAAGAATCTAGGGGCAAATCATCGAAAAACAATTGATTCAATCAATGCACTGGCGGTCTGGAGAGACAGTTGAGGTCGGATCTGTTTATCAAGGGGCAAGGGTACAGACTGGGCTCATTGGCGTTCCGGGGGTAGAATACAAGCTTGGATGAAGATAGCATAGCTAACGAATCAACGATGAAAGCGCTCTCAAACATTTGTATCTCTACAGCAGCATGGGACACGTGCTCCCATATTATGGCTCGGAGTTTGTGAGCGTAGGCTAGTAAATCCCAGTCTGCACCACACTAGCTTTTGATCGCGAGACTGGGTTTCACGTCGGAGAAAGCCCGGCGAGTGGTACAATGGGTATCCAACTCACATCCGAAACCATCTGGATCCCTCCATCCAAATCGCGAACACGGCATTAGGTTCCTCTAGCTCCTCACACGTGACCGAGTTGGAGTTTGAGTTCGAGTGCGCTGACGCTCTACGCTCATTCTGGCGTCTCCAGTATTACGTCGCTGGTGATGAGGGATTGACCGATATGCTGAACTTCACTTCTCGGGTACAGGGACGCCGCCGTGGAGGGATAGAGTCTACAGGTAGGCAGTAAGAAGCTTGTACTAACTGAGTCTGGGAGTATTGCATCAGCTGCGCGTTGAGATCTAGACGATTGTTTGGGGAGGTGGGAACAAGAGATAGCACCTCACCTTGGCACAGCACCTAGTCAACTAATCTACTTGCTGGAACGTCCACTTGGGGAGTCACAACTTTGCCTCAACTTTGTCCACAGAAAGGACTACCTAGAAGCCTGCCACTTAATGACTGCCGGCAGACTGGTGGTTCCTGCTTTCTTTTTGGCAAAGATGGAGCACACCGTGACCCGGTGTCTCGATGAAGACAACGATGAAGAGGATCACTGCCCAAGCTATCTACGAGAATGCCACAAATTTGCATGCATGGAATGATTAAGAAGTGCGAATCTGTAGCCTCTCGGCGACCGTCGCAGCTGACGGCCAACGTATCGCGAATTGACAAAGTAAGCATGAACCAAGATGCTAGGTCGTGAGGGCGAATGCAGAGCCGGACGAGTACGGCTCAATTTGGTGTATTAGGAGAGGTCTTGGCCTGAACGACAGTGAATCAGACAGTGAGTCGCATCCTGCGTTGGTTGAAAGGTTGGTGAGGCACTTAGACATCGGCAAGATTTCTCCTGAAGGCCTCACTTACCAGCTTAGGAAACGCAAGTTGTGGTAGGCGGAATTGGGAAGACTAAAATGCGAGATGGGGGATCAGATCAGAGACAGTTCAGAGTGAAGAAGATGACTTCGAGGGTTGGTCTAGAGTCTCATTGTTATTGCTTGTGTTAGAACTCCCTAGGGCTTTTTCACATGTGCAATGATGACACTCCGGTTGTGATCACTGTAAGGCTTTTCTAACTGTAAATCCGACAGTTGACACATTGCAGTTTATGAGCACTTCCAGCCGCGATGATTCCACGTGCTAAGAACTTTTTTAGTTCCCTGAGTCCCCTTCCCTTCCAGATTATCAAGTTCTTCAGAGCCACGATATTGGGTAAAGTACGTCATCTTCTTACTACCTCAGAAATAGTATCTACGTCCCTACCTGAGTATCACTATCATGCCGGCACCTATCAACGCAAAGCTTGATAAGAAAATCGTTCAAGTTTCAGTTCCTTTGCAACATCCCAACTATCGAGCTAACTCCTCCCCTCGAGTAAGAAGAATGCGGCGTCTGCAAGGAGCCATACCAGAAACCAATGGGAAGTTCGGTGGGACATTACATCGTCCAGTGGCACTGCCCTGCGGTCACATACTCGGTTTCCAATTGCCTCGCTCGGTGGATGCTGTCGGCCAGTTTCGACAACCATTGCTCTCTCTGCCGGGCACAGATTGTCGACCCTCGTGCAACACGAGAGCGACTCAGCCGCGCCTTGGCAACCTCTTTCGCACCACTGGAGATCCTCGCTGTTGTCGCTGGTAACGGTATTTCACAGATGCAAAAGAGTTAGCTGCTCAAATTCTTTGGGAACTCGACACTAAATAGTACGCTTGTCTGTAGATTGCTGTTTCTACAGCTGGATTTATGATCTAATCTTATGCAAGAGAGATGCCACAAAGATGTCCCCTAGGAGTAGTCTCATGAAGTAGTACTATGCCGCACCCCTTACACATGGATAAACAGTATCGGAGCAGAAATAGAGAAATTTATTCGGAGGAGCTCAAAAGAATTCATCCACAGAATTGGGCTCACCCGCATATCAATTTGAGAGTGTTTCAAGCTGAAGCTAAAACACATCTATTTCGTTTCGCCTAGCGCCATCAAGTAGATTCGTAAACACCTTATTTTATTTTCCAATCTCCAACACCATCGCTGATTAAGTCTAACACCACCAACCACTGTCCATTCCACCCATAGAACTCTTCCTTCTTTGTGTACACCACTCACCACGGTTGTGGTTTTTCCCTGAACCTTCACAGCTCCCCTTCGAGGTCTTTTTCTATCCGCATGAATCTTCCTGACATCAGCACTCCAAGATTCCAGGATTCACAAGGGACTCATCAACCTCTAGGTAGTCACGATGGAAATAATACGAATGCCCGTCGAGCTGTTGAATGAGATCTTCATGAAGGTATGAGGACACTCAAGGCGATGATTGGCTTAGCTAATACCATAAAGCTGCGCGCTGACGGTCTCCTGAACTTGCTTCCGGTTGCGCTGGTGTCACGCCATTTCTACAGAATAGTGACACCGCTGACCTATCAGACTATCTATATTGACATCTCTGGCTGTACCTACCCTCACCCCCACGCGGAGGACCACACGCCTACCAAACGGCCTCTCAGCACGCTTATCTCACGGCTCTCTGCTGGACCCGCGGTCCTTGCTTTGGTCAGAAACATTCATGTCTTTGGCCGTGACGGAGTTCATCCAGGTGCTCTAGAGCTATTGATAGGCTGGCTCCCCAAACTCCGTCAGCTAAGTTCGTTTTCCTGGAATTGCGACGGTTCTTTTCCACCAAGTCTGCTCACAAGCCTCGGTCAGCACTGGCCAAAAGCTCACCTAGACATGCGTACAAGCTTTTCCAAGTGCGACATCAAAAAGGATTGGAAAGTCCTCAGGCTAGCTCCCAACATGCTACGTTCGCTCCATGTCTGCATGCCCAACTATCCATATGACAGAGTCGGACAAGAGGCCCGTGTGGCAAAGAGCAAGCTTTTGTGGGCACTAAGAAGTTGTCCAGGTTTACACAGCCTTACTACGTATGATCCCAATGTTTACAGGAATAATCGCGGCCTTGGAGCATCGGAACCATGGCATGATTTGAAGCCTGAGTTTCTTCTACCTCAACTCGCGGAACTTACGATCGCAGACAGAACTTTTGAGGTAGACGATCTGTTGAAGTGGGGAGCAAAAGGAGGTTGGACAAAGTTGATTAAGATCACACTCTGGGATGACCGCCTCCTGTACGGTTTCCAAGGCTGCGAGCAATCCTTGCGATCAATCAGTCTCCTCCACACGAAAGCAGGAAATGAGAATGCTCTCGTATCAATATGCTCGCGAACCATCAGACTCACGGAATTGAAGATAAAGACCGAAGAGTCTCGACTTCCATTCTCAGCCTTAATGATCTGCGGACCTTCGTTGGAAACGCTTGCGATCCATCCCCACCGAGACGCTTTAGACAATTGGATAAATATGCAAGATGTTCCGCTTTGTCTTCTACAGGCTATCCAACGCCTCTGTCCAGGTTTGACCAACTTGGCGTTGAACCTCCGTTGGCCTCCTGATAACCCGGCAAGTCTCCAGACCTAATATGTAATCTGAGCTCCTACTGACGATACTGAGTCACAGGATCATCTTTCCGCTCTCAGCCAGATCCCACAACTAGCAGCAATTACACTACATACTCAGAAACCCCAAGGTTATGAAAAACACAAGTCTTCCCTAGCGGCGGTCGAACATGCGTTTCGTCATGTGGTCGAACATGGTGGTAATGAGCAGAATCTCAGATCCCTCATACTTTACGACGGCCCGCAAACTTCGGATTGGGACAATCCATGGGGCTTAGTGGAGCGCTCAAGCCGAGCTTTCAAAGCGACAAGGGGTACACTTGGAGGAAACCTGGATCAGAACATTTGTGCGAAGCAGATACAGGGCCCTTCAGAAACCGATCACGAACGATATCATCGCCAGCAAGAACGCGTGGAAGCTGAGAAAAAGACCAGAGACTATTTGGACGCCATGCCACCAGCAGTCCTCTCCCAGATGATCGACAATAATAGACGCCAGATACGAGGCACGACTTCAGACATCCAGGAGCAAATGTATGAGATCCAAACAGGGGGTTGGAATCCTAGGCTCGCGGAGTATGAAGAGCGGTGGAAGAATTCCAGCGAGATTTTGCCCATGCTGGAATGGCAGTTGCAAACGCGCAAAAAGCAAGGATGGAAGTTGTGGGATATGCCACTCATGAGATCGGATGCTGGGAGCGAAGGTTTTCTGTACGACAGGATGATAGAGGCTAGTGCAGAACCTTAGGATTCGCAGTTTGGCAATGGACATGGTTGTATGATAGAACAGTATTTGCTAGAATGTATGCATGCGTTTCAGCCGACTGGAGATACCGCAGCTTTTGTGCTTCACTGGAACCGCAAGTCGCGATAAACTCCTCGCTTCTTTCGTCAACGGGCGCGTGATCATTCACTCACTGGCCTTTGCCTTACGACTAACCTCACCTCATCATACCTACCTCTTTTCGACTTTACACCTTACGATCAATGTCTACACCAGTACCATGCCGCCTCTCTTTGATACAAAGCTGACGCCAGATCTCTACGAGGTCATTCTATCATACAAAAAAGCCACCACGGTGGTTGAGAGATGGCTAGCTGTCACTTCCGATAGAACCGATATCAAGGCCAGATTGATAATACCTGATATGCAACAAGCAGCAAGTTCCATCAAGGATACGCGTATCAAGGTCCCCGATCTGATCTACTATGCCTTCGACAAGGCTATCGCGGCTCGCTCTGAGGTGACGAGTCACTTCAAAGGTTTCTTTGGCACAAGGACCGCTAAGGCCAACAACTTGTCCCATGAAAGTTTCACCAAATCGTGATCTTCTAGCTTCTTCAGACAGATTTACGAGATGCATCGACATTTTGGTAGACTTAAATCCATCTTCAAGTCTCTGTGCTCCGACGAACTTTCATCCTCGAAGGCAAAAGCGACAAGTTCTACGAGCACGCCAGATCCGAATCCCTTCGAGACACTCAGTAATCTGCAAATAGAGAGCGACTCACCCAGCGCAAGTGGCAACAAAAACATTGAGGCCGATGAGGCACACTACGAGCACTCGAAAGATGGACGAGACGACGCTGGAGATGACGGCATCAAGAATGATGCAGCTGTCCAGGATCTTGAGTTGTGTTTTGTGCTTTGGGTTCGTTCCGCCTTTTTGAGGGAAGTGTCCGTCCGGACTGATCCGTTCTTCAGGATCTCGAAACGACTTGCTCAAAGGTCAGGACATACTGGGCCGATGCTGCAGTAAGCAAGATACCGTTCATGCTCGCGGCCTTCCTCACCAACGCTGCCATGGTGAGTGTGGCAACTCGCTTCCACTGTGGACGACGATTCTTCGATACGTGTGAAATAATCGCATACACAGAGATAGTCGATATAGTCGAGAAGTACAAGTCATCAACACTCGGCATACCTGAAACAGCGGACCCTGTTGCCATGAATGCCTTCACACTTCCTCTTATGTCCACCAGTCTATGCCAGCAGGGGATCAATGATCATGCAGAGCAGTCGCGGCAAAGCATCATCGAGAGCCTGCAAGATTACATCATTCGCTCTAGAAGGACCTTGCGACAGCATCAAAAGAGTTGACGCGGGAATGAAAGTGTTCAAGTTCTTGTTAAAGAGTACGAAACAGCTCTCTTGCAAAGAGGAAGATTAATATAATTTTGTTACGGGTCTTTCTTTCATACGTAAGCCTAACCTACACGAACACGTTCGACCAATACCGACTAGCGCAACATTTATGCTTCGATTGATCTTGTCCATACAAGAGGGGGTTTAATCCTGCCTAGGGAGGGCGAAAAGTTTGCAACCCACATCGGACTGCGATTGCGAAGATTGCGTTGATCTGGTCTTATGGAGAGCCTGCGAATGTTTGACAGCGACCTATCTACATTCTCAAGCGAAAAGCGATTCGATTTTTATCATCAGTCACCAGTGGTTGCGGGCCATCAGCTGACAAGGATTCTTGCTATAGCTACCGATCTCTGAACTCGTTTTTGTAACCCCACGCAGTATTTTGGGGCCACTCTACACCTATACAACTTCCTCAGACAATTTGACGTTATCGAGAAGGAAAGTGTCCTGTTGGAGCATCTCTGCCAACACATCGACCACAATATCTCTCGTGGCCCTCATCCTACCTTTAGTTCCTTCTCCCAGTATG